TGTAATTCTAGACAGAGAAAAAAATAATAATACATCTTTGCATTAAGATTCTGATAGGCCATTCCGTCATTCCAACTATTTCACGTGAAGCTTTAAATCCCATAAGTCTCCAGTCAAGGTAGCCACTGCTGAGCATTCTGGAAATTGAAGTTTATATATCCTTGAAGGATGTTCAAATAGGACAGTGCTTTTTTTTTTTTGCAACTTGCATCCCTATCTGTATAAAGTTAACATCCCTATCAAAAGCCTAGACACAGAAATGGGTAGACTTCCACTGAAGATTAAAAAAAAGGAAGACACAGAATATTTTCAAGTATGGGATGTATTTTATCAATGGCTGGAAAAACAGGGTAGAAATTAGGAATTTAATATGTATTGTAAAGTAAAAAAAATGGACCCAGACAACACATTGCTTAGTAAGCACTTATGAATTATAAACCCAGAAAACTAATAAAATGTTATTAAAAAAAAGAAAATGCCCAAAATTTATGGGGTACTGAACTGATGTGAAGACCTAACAAGGATAAATGATTCTTAGAAATTGGACACTAAAAATCAAGAACTCGCTGTAACCTTTACTGTCTGGAATAAATCACCATCATTGGGGAAAAACAACAACCTAGATGCATAAACTGTATTTGGTTCCTTAATTTCACCCCAAATTAATTTTTAAAATATCCTAAAACTGTTCAATTTGTTTATTTTATTTATTTTATAATTTAATTTATACCCCGCCCTTCTCCTCATGGGACTCAGGGCGGCTAACAGCCTCATAAAAACTACAATACAAATACAATAATTAAAAGCCAAATTAAAAGAAATATTTAAACAGGCCGATCAATTAAAATTATCCTTAAAAATCCCCTGAAACTTTAAAATCGTTAACAATTATCCCTATTTAAAACTCACCCTAGGTCAGGCCCGCTTGTTGAAAAAGCCATGTCTTGAGGGCGCGGCGGAAGGTTAAGAGATCCGGAATCGTCCGGATCTCGGGGGGTAGTTCGTTCCAGAGGGCGGGGGCACCCACAGAGAAGGCCCTCCCCCTGGGGGTCGCCAGCCGACATTGCTTGGCCGACGGCACCCTGAGGAGGCCCACTCTGTGGGAGCGTACCGGCCTGTGGGAGGGAATCTGCGGCAGAAGGCGGTCTCGGAGATAGCCAGGACCGATGCCATGGAGCGCTTTAAAGGTGGTGACTAGCACCTTAAAGCGTACC